TAGCCGAGCAAGTCGTAATACGGATTTCATTTGAACCTCTAACTAGTAAAGCTTCAGAAAGTTGGTTAGCGCCTATAATCCTGAGTGAGCAGTGAGATTAGTTGCGAACTATAAGGACGAAAGTACGAGTAGTTCGCCATAATAAACAATCAGAACTTTATGTTACTCAAGGGACTTCTATCAAAAGTTGCAGAAATCATAAATATATTTCTTTCGACAATTTCTTTTTGCGTTATTGTTTCGCAAATTCATTTGGCTGTTTTTCGTAAATAATACCCTATGTCATCCTCTTATGACGTAGTTTTCATAGCTGAAATATTTTTTTAAATCATGTCGTAACCAACCTTTCGTAACGTTTTCTTTCCTTAGATGCATTGCACTAATTTTGCTCATATAAATAAACTTTTTAGTGTTTTCCATTTATATTCTTTACTTTTTCCATTCTATGACTATGGACCATCAATTTTAAAATTAAATTAAAATTCTGTAATATAAACTTATCTAAACCTCTACGAACTTTCATTCTGTGTTTTTGTCTACTTACACTAATGTGAACCCTTACCTGTAGCTTTCATAGTTTTTCGTTATACATTTTACCAATTCTAATCATATTAAAGCACTTATTGATATGTTATTTATAACACAATTTATTGCTAATTTTAATTGTTTTGACAGATTTGACATCAAAGTTTTTCTTCGTTGCTATGGTTATATTTAATACTCTTCATGAAAATTGACTCATTGTTTTTCAGTTTTAGGTATTGAAACTCCGTAATTTTTGAATTTTTAGGGTTCTAATTTGAAATCATTTACTTCCAAATTTGAGTTCGTCTTCAGGTATATGAAGCCTTGCCCGAATAGTTCTGCATGACTTCAACGGCAACAGTTGCCCAAGTTAGCTTTTTGGAGCTCGTACAGAACAAGCTAAATGCTCAATAGGCCTATTTCCCCGGGAACTTTTCAAAGTTACGGTCTCAAAATCACTTGACACCATTTTGGCTGTAATTAATCATTAATAAATAAATACTAACAGTACTCTACTAAACCTCCTTCACCACCTTCAAGCTTGGACAGAATTTTTTTCTTCTGAAGCTGTCTACAAGTCTTCTTCTGGAGGCCCGAGCTGCTGATCCGTTCTGGGCTACGAAAGAACCATCTGCTCGACACATTGTGAGACGCGTCGTCGAAAAGGCGCTCCAGAACTTCGCCGTTGACCCACGACCCATCACCAGAAGCCTTGCGTTGACGACGACTATTTCTACGCTGACGGAACAGAACTTCACCGCTGACCTGTGCCCCATCACCAGATCACCTACACTGACACTCTCACTCTCACTACTCACCTCACCAGTCACCTCATCCCTTTTATTTATTTTTTTATTTATTGTAAATAAATTATTTAATTTACGATCTTTTAGTTTATTTATTCTTGTTTCATAACAATCAGACAACAAAGAAACAATCAAATCCTTCCTCTTTATATTATTGGTATAGACTAACTGATACCACGATATACGTGCCGCCTTTTTTAAAATAGCTAACATAGGTATAGGCATCCATTATTATTTAGTATCTATTTGTAACCGCATTATTTTAAATATTTTAAACTCGGTGTAGGAGTTTTATGTTTACTTTTCTATTTATCTCGGTAAACCTTAGAGTACATAATAGTTGGTTTAATACTCTAATGGGTAAACAGTAACAAAGTTTCCATTTATAAATTAGTAGTAATATGTATACCATTAATGTATACTTTGACACCAACAATGTTTACCACATATTTATCGTTAAATACCAAAAAACAGTGACCTAATCCAAGTAATGTCGTATGTAAAAGCCCCTGGCTTCTAAAATTTCGTATTGTTTTCTCTACAGCTTTATACGTACTCTGGAATAACTGTCGTTTTCTTAAGTCCAAATGTATGTAATGGGCAATACGAAATTCGAAAACAAGACACCGTGCGCCCCTTAAGAAGGAAAGCTTAACAGACTATCGGCCAGTTGCACAAACGTCCATTTAATGCCGCCATTAAGCTCTAATGAAAATCAAATTTGTGTAGGTAATGTCGCTTTAAACTAATGACAATTTTAATGGACGTTTGTGCAACTGGCTGTATATGGAGATGTATCAATATTTGTTGCTTTATATCACTCAGAGATCAAACCCGTAAGCCGATTTTAACTTTAATCGATTTGGCTTATTCTTGCAAATGTTACTACGTTTCTCAAAATTAAACATGGCCGCCATATTACGAAAAATAAAATGGATTAACTACCTATATCTAGTAGTCATTAGATAGGTTATTTTAGAGTCTTGTCAATTTTATTTAATACAGGCCTAGAACGGTTTGTTAGTGGTTAACGACTACAAATCCGACCGTTTCGATAAATCAAGTAATGCCAACAATATAATGTGCCTTCCGAAGCATAGAGGAGCTCTGATTGTTGGTAATACATTTTTGGTCACCCATCCTATGACCAGTCTTTGCGAAATTAGCTTCACATCTGCAATCGCAGAACGCAGTAACTGATATATATATATTTATTATATAAGAATCGGTTTTATTGCTCGGACTGATTAGTTTTTTCAATAGAATCATATTGCTGGCATTACACTAATATGACAGGTTTATTCTGTATCTTATTGTTCCGGGACTATTGTTATTAGAAGAATGAGAGCTGTTGCTATTCATAATATCCTGGTAGATTTTTATATAAACGTAATGAATATTTCTTAGCTTGGTACTTAATGAGTTTTTTAATTATCTAATGGATCGTTTTACGTAGCGGTTTTGTTAACGTTCAGCTTTTATAATTATAAATGCATTATACCTACATATTTAATTATTAATTTACTTTTAAATTACTTCAATTTCTCTGATCTGGCAAACGCTTAGAACAGGGGTTTCCAGACTGTTCGTCTACTGCCCACTTTGAAAATGAATTATTTATAGCGCCCCATTTTTTCACCTAATTAAAACAACTGTAACTGCGAATTAAATTAATTATCGTGAACTATATTAGTGGAGATTAAACGCTCATTCTAATCGATACTTGTACTGTAACCCGCAAGATTTAACTTGAGACCTGAGCGCAGTAGATAATACACAAGTCTCGAGTTTACTCTTCCTAAGCCTTACACAATGCTCCCGTTTTATTTTTTAGGTCTATTGCCTCACCATTTATCGGTGCCGGGTCTACAAGGGGGTGCTATTGCCCACTTTGGGAAAGGCTTGCTTGGAAGAAGACACAACTATAAATATCTATACCTAAAAGCTTTCTCTCAAAATATCTTTGTTAATGAAAGGAATCTTCACTAATGTAATTAATATTCAAAGGAAAAACTTCCATTAATATAATTAACTCCCTACGATTCTAGATCTAAGTAGGTAAATATCTTCAAAAATGAACCGTTAATTTTGATAATCTTAGTCTGATAACTAACATTATAAAGATGAAATATTTGATTGTTTGCATCGAATAGCCTTCTAAACTACTGGACCGACTTTAAAAAATTCTTTCACCTACGGGAAGCTACATCATACGCGGTTGACGTAGGCTGTTATTCAAATATAGGACAGAGTCCCGAGAAAACAGCTTGTACTGGTATAAAAACAAACTTTATCATAGATAAATACAATATTTAAATTTTAAAATTTATTCGTTTTCGTTTCGTTATTAAGCATTTTTCTTAAAAATAGATATCAATATAGCATTCAGAATGCAAAATTGATCAAATCCACCTATAAAGTATTAAAAAGCCGTTTTATAGTAATAGATACCTACTGAAATAACATTAATCCTTCATGTTGTGAGAATTATGGTTTATGGAATTAAAAATTGGATTTGAAAATTGGAATATTCCATTTTCGACTTTCAATTGTTTTTACTACTTTGATGAGAATAAGCATTCTTAGAATAATGACTCATATACACGTTATTAAGTAGATAAGTAGTTAGTAGATTTTTAACGTAATTTTAAGTGATTCTAAACACACAAACAAATAATAAATAGTGAGTAAAAATTTTGGTAACTATTCAGAAGCTTGATTGATTTTAAAATTTGAATCTACTTGCTACTTAATAACGTGTAAACCAGTCATAAGAGTTCCGACGCGGTACTAACTTAACTTTCTTTTAACTACAAGGTACAAACATGTTAATGTGTAGATTATTATCGGAATTTACTATTTTTAATAAGAAATTATTATGATTCTACAATTTCGTGCCTCATTCGATTATTTTTATGTGCCCTATAATAACTTTTACTATAGATTTCCTCAATTAAACGTTTTGTGATATCAGTACAATATCGACATGAAATTCCTCCATTAACATTAGGTGAACATACCTAATCAACTGTCCCAATAAATATACCTACAAAAAATTAGTTTTAACTACGTTATATGACAAATGATAGTAGATAATTACAATGCATTCCAGTTTAGAAATACATAAACGAGTGCGTTTGCTTATTTATGTCATAGTGACTCACTTCAATATGAAATCACACTTGAATTTTACATTTGAAATGAAACTTCAAAATTTTAGAGGTGTGATCGCCTAATTCTTCTAACTAGAACTCTGGCTGTAGATTTAAAAACGTTTCGATAATTTTATCAATGTATAAGCACACTTTCTTTTATAATGACGTTTTTTATTATTGACATGTTTGTTTAAACATTTTGGTTTATTAAAATTTTCGGAATACCTTTATTTGGTTGAATCCGATTGGCTTTTTTGAGCAAAAATTAATTAAGTATATCCGAATATAATTCAGAAAGTAGAACAACCAAAACCATTATATTAGATTGTGTTAAACGGGTATTAACGTGAAACGTCAGGAAATATAGGAAGGTGAAAAACCTAACTATCAATCTATTGCGTTAATACCCGTTCCATACAATCTAATATAATGCAACGTGAAAGTTTAAAAGTTTATAAACCATAAAAATAATGAGACATTATATAAAAGGCCAAATAATATATATTGCTTTCAGATGACGGAAGGAAGATCACGCGTACAGCAAAACGACCTCCTGCTGCACGAAGCGGTGATCAAGAATGAAGCGGCAGCAGTGAGGGAAGCCCTGCTGAGACCTACTGATGTCAACTGCCGGAATAATGTAAATAAAATGCTTTTAAAGTAATACATATACAATACCTACAAGATACTTGAGGCCGCAGATAAACACATGAACACAGGGGTCAGGAAAGAATCAAAAACAGATTATAAATTAAATAGGGGAGATGACACAATAAACGAAGTAGTCATCTTTGAATACATCGCAACTGGCAACGGTATATTTTTTCCTATGTGTAATTTACGCTTAAAAGTTCCAAATGGCCAAAAAGAGGCCAGTAGTCAAAACCTGATCATTTTCCCTATGTAACTAACTTTATAAACAAAATAACTTCATCAATATATGTAAACTTGAAAAAACAGGAATTCAATAGATAAAATATTCGAAAGGCAATAATGATATTATTGATAAAACCGTAATAACTTTTTATTGAAAATGAAACAAATAAAATTTAGTTATAATAAATTAGGCTGGTTAATAATTCAGAATTAGAAATTAAAATTTACTAAAAGCGACAAATGTGGTAGTTCATTTAAATGGTGAACTATATCGAATACGTAATTCTACAAAAAAACTGGCCTAAACTGAGTAAGACTCATATTTATTAATATTTCAATGTTTATTTTTATTTATAGTAAAAAAATTGAAGGCATGCCGCTCAAAATCGTTCGTTATATAATAGTTAGTCATATAACCCTTGTTTCTTCTTTATTCGACGTAAGTACACCAAAAATGAGGACAGACATATCTATGGTTTTCGTATATTTTCTTAACTCATAAAATATTTTGTTCCCAGTACGGCAGAGCTCCCATCCATTGGGCAGCAAGCAGAGGCAACGTGGAAATAATTAAATTACTCATCGATGCGAAGTGCGACATCGAAGCGGCCGATAAGGTGGGTCCTTTATTCGAGATCTCACTAACGGGCGGAAACAATATTACTTAGAGTGTAACAATGTTATCTGCGGGTCTTGTACGTAGAGTATTAACTACCTTATTGTATTGGACATAACAGCGTCTCAATACTACGTAATAATTGTTGAAGCAATAATTAGCTTATTAATAATAATCGATCTTGATCTATGTATATCAAGATAAACGTAAAGTTGTAAAATGTAACTCTCACATAATTCACAAATTATTGGTAAGTTACATAAATTATTATCGGTGCTAAATAAATTTCAATAAAAATATATACAACATAAGTGCTCGAAAACTTATCAATTATATAAAATCTATACTAATATTATAAAGCTGAAGAGTTTGTTTGTTTGTTTGTTTGAACACGCTAATCTCAGAAACTACTGGTTCGAATTGAAAAATTATTTTTGTGATGAATAGACCATTTATCGAGGAAGGCTAGATAACACGCTTCAACTATTAGGAGAAATAATGGAAAACGCGGAAAAAGTCGCTAGCGGCCACTAGTATAATATAAAAATAAACAATAACGATGTTTTTTTTTATATTATTAAAGTATGATATTTTTAATAGTAATGAAGCACTTCATGATAAAGCAGATCATAAAAATGTCATGAACAATAAACATCTTTTAGATAAGTTTTCACTCATGTTAAGCTTTTTCTAATTAATATTATTTATAAAAATAGTTTTATTTAATATTAATTATCACGAATGTGGGGCTAGTTATAAATTAAAGAAAAATAAATTATAAAAGCATGACTCAATGGCCTTCAAAATTCACATTAACATCAAATTAACGATATTATTCATTCAAATATCTTTAAAAAAATATCGCAATCACTATCATATGTTAAATAATTGTAGTGTGAAATATATTACAAATGTCAAACTGAAACCGATTATATACGATTAGACCCCTAGTCAACGACTGTGTACTTCCGTTATTTATTTATTTGTTCCGTCCTACAAATAAATTATTAAAACTAGTTGTTCACGAAATAATGTTCATATTAATGTGAATCCTGCTTTCAGATAGAACTTCCATTCTATTTAATATGTCCGAAACAACGGGTTTCTATTGGGATTCATCCAATATCATATCGTAGTATCTATCACAGCTAGGGTTGCCAACTGGATGTACTATATTTTAGGCCTCCGTACTATGTACTATTAAATAATAGATATTACCTAAAAATACTATTTTTCAACATCGAAATATAATAAATATTTTTTTAATTTATAAAGGCGCCTAATACATTGATTTTTGATAAGTGCGACAGCTAATAGATGCACAGTATAAGTATAACACAGTATAGAAACTAAGCCTATTAGATAAAATAAATACCTACGCTCCATTGAAACCATAGGGTTGTCATTTTTAATGTTTTAGACATTGTTCTTTGTACAAAATATAAAAGGAGTTCTGTCATTATTAATCAATCGAATTGTAATAACTAATTAACAAACAAAAAAACATACATACATACATACATTTTTGATATTTGGCACATTTGTTCAGAGTTCAGAGAGAGGTGATATCTACTTATATTTACACTGTGGTGGTATAGAATAACATATCTGAAAACTGGGCAGTTCTGGAAATATAACATACGTACAGGTCAAATTGATAACCTTCTTTTTTTGAAGTCGGTTAAAAATCAGTTAATCTCAGCAAAAGACGATAATTTAACATACGAGAAATAGTTTAATATTGACACACAACTTGTAAAACATTGTTTTTATGTAGATCTTTAACTTGATATTACGGCATAACCTTGTACAAGTTTTGACGGAAACACAGCTGGGGTTGGACGTTTCGTGCGCTCTTCGAATCGGACGTGTGGTAGGTAGGCACTGTATTTAGGTGGCTCGCTCATCAGCGACTGTTTTTGGGTGTTTATCAAGCATTTTCGAGTGGGACCGTACTACGTTTCAACCCGAAAATATGCATGACACTGAAACGGGTATTTAAAAAAAAAACAATCTTAAAAATAACTTATTTTTTTATTTCACATAAGCCTACTCCTTTCCTTCATTTTTAAATAAAAACGATCACCGAACGTGTAATGTGACCACTCGTCTCGACGCGATACGCGTTACTGAGCGTCCTGTTAGGTCCACTTAGGCGGCTCGTCGGTGAGCGTGTTTATGTGTGCGTGCGATTTCGAACGCTTATAGGCAGTTTCACCACTGTCTACTTATATACACTGTGATAGAGGGCTTATGTTAATGTCATAAATTATTTTCGCTCGTTCGTCTTGTCAGCCCAAAGACTTTCTGAACGGGTAGGAAAAAATTTAATGATCCAAAAATATTTTCTTAGCTTAAGTATTGAATACATATATAATTTCATTTTATATCACTGTATATCGCTAAAGTAGTACATTGGTTTAATGTAAATAATCTTCTCCTTAATGAAGGAAAAACAAAATACCTAAAATATGCCGTAATGAAGATACGTAGGTTAATTGACATAGATACCTACTGCCAGATTAATACGAGAATATTTCAGTTACTTTCATAGTGTTATATCGTACGGAAGCCTATTGTGGGGAAATGCTGCCGACATACAAATGCTTTTTTTCAGAAAGGAGCAATTGGATTAATTTATAATCTTAGGATTAGGGACTCTTTAAGGGAGACGTTGAAGGAAATAGTCATAATGAATGTTGCTTCTCAACACATATACGAGAACTTAATATACATACGTTAGTAAAAATATGTGTTTGTTTTCTATAAAAAGTGATATACACAATTTTAATACAAGAAATAAAAATAAATTAACGGTGCATGTCACTAGACTGCAAAAAGTTAGTAACTCATTCAGAGGTCGTTGTGTGGGCTTACACAATACAACAAAATACAACAATTAGATATCATTGTGCGACCCATCAGACTGCTTGTGCTTACAGGAAGACTTTAATAGACTTGTGGATTGGAGTGATCGTAATCACATGACATTGAACATAAACAAATGTAAATATATTCGATTTACTCGCAAAAAAACATACAACCCATACAAATATAAAGTTAAAAACCAAGAATTGCAGGAAGTTACTGTGATTCGCGATCTGGGCATCTATTTTGATAAAAAACTTAACTTTAATACTCACATAGATGAGCTTGTCAAAAAATGTTTTAAAATACTTGGTTTCGTCATAAGAAATACAAAAGACTTTAGGCTTCCTAATAGCAAGATTCTTATATTTAACGCATTAATTAGATCATCCTTGGAATATGGTAGTGTGGTGTGGTCTCCTCGTTACGAAGTACATATAAAAAGAATAGAATCGGTACAAAAAAGATTTTTATGGCATTTGTCTTTTCAACATAATATGGCTAAAGAGTTACCTTCCTATAAAGAACGATTATCATATTTTAATGTATCTAGTCTACAAGACCGAAGACTATTATTGGATCAGTTATTTCTATATAAAATGGTTAACGGTGCATTGGATTGCTCAGCTCTTTTACAACAAATTAATTTTAATATTCCACGTAAGCATGTTAGACCCTCGCGTTATAAATTGTTTTCTCCTAAATCTTTAAAGAGCAATCTAGGACACTATTCGGCATTAAATAGAGGCCAGAATCAATATAATGTAATCGCGAAAAAAAATAACGTATTAGATATTTTTTCCAAATTTAACTTGTTTAAATCTAACATGAGTTGCTGCTATAACAGATAAGTAATTGTTATCATAATGATAGAATAACTAAGCATAAACTTATTAAACATCTCTCACGTATTTCCTCCTGTGTAACTGTACATGCCGTGGCAGCTTGTAATTGAGGCAACACTTATTTGCATGCTTTTTTTATTATTGTAATAATGCTACTATCAGTGTATTGTCTTGTAAGCTGTCCTTAAATAAATAAATAAATAAACCATGCAGTTTAAATCTACTATTAAAAAAAAAACTTATTAAAAAGTATCCGATCATATAACAGATAAGAATGCTTGGAATTAAGATGATCCAGCAACTGGATAGGTGATTACCTCTAAACTCATACTATATCAAAAATTATCTTGTTTCTGTTTTTATTATGTTATCATTATAAGACCATAGTTTTTTTTTGTCTCTCTATTTATAATATATTGATAATATTGATGATGAGATGTTTTTTGTGAATGTCATAACTCCTAATAGAGCTGGTGAGTTTCTTGCTCGTTCTTCTTATCAGCCAAAAGACGACCTGAACGAGTGGCAGGGAAAAAAAGTTTGGACGATTCAAAAGTACTTTTAAGAAGTCTATTTGAAAAATATTATTTTGACTTTGACTATATATTCTTCTACTTTGTTTTAGTTAGTGTTCGTTAGCTGTAGCATGTAAGTGTATGTACTATATTCTAATAGCTTATTTTTCAAATACTATATTGCTCTAAATCAATGTTTGCAACCCTAATTATAACTGAACCTAAATTGTGTTTTAAAGAATCGCTCTTAAATTTTACCCTTCTCTGTAGAATGTAAATGTTGATTTAACAACCGAATAAAAATTTTACAATATTTTTTTAGAACTTTTGCCAAATTCTTTGTAGTCCAATAATGTTGAATTAATAACGATGTTGTTAACGATTTATGGGAGTGCCTATCTATCTATCTATTATATTTTAAGCCTGTAGTAGTAAAATTATTAGCCAATTAACCTTTATGTGAAATTAAGTAAATCTGAAAAAGGTAATTTCATTAAATATTCTAAATGTTTGTATTTTAGTTTATTATTAAAGACAATGATGCCAATCGTATTATATCACTCTCTTAAGTAAAATAAAACATAATTTGGTATTTGTTTTAACGTTATTACGTATAACTTATTTATTGTGTAATAAATAAGTATAGTAAAATTAAGTTTTTACATTACTACAGGCAATTGTTAATAAGTTCTGTGCTTAAATAAGTGTACATGGTTAAATTTGCTGTTGACATCATTATTGAATTGAGTATTTAAGATAAAAAAAACACCGATCCACACTCGGCCTGCATGGTGGGTAAATCATGTAAATCATGGCCCACTGTCCCTATTCGAACTTATTCGATTTCATTCATAGGAAAGGCAGGAGCCCCAGCCGTGGAGACTTTCATAGGCCTGTGATGGTGATAAAAAAATTAATTAGCCAACCGATCGTTAAAACGATCATATTCATCATGTACGGGATGTACTTGCTATATCAGCGTAGCCTTAGCCCATGCTCTCGAAGTAGAAGCAGCATGATGAATGTGATCGTAAAGACGATCATATTCATCATGTACAGGATGTACTTGCTATATCAGCGAGCGATCGTCCACTACATTTCACCCCCAAATGTTTTGCGAACAAAGGGGTCATTTTTAGAGGAACTGCCCTAGAGCAAAGAGGAGGAGGAAGAGGAAGATCTAGCGACGATGGATAGGGTAGTTTTCTCTTTGAAGGAAATCTTATGTCGATAGCTGCAAGCACAGCATTAGGCAAGGTAAAAAGTGGCCCCTTCAGTACCCGTAAGGTCACTGAAAGAGGATATCAGCGAGGAATGGAAGGATTCCTTGTCAAAGGCACAGAAAGATAACAACGATTTAGGACTAATCGTCAAGTGGCTCAAGGCTGGTGCACCGAGGCCTAAATGGAGTAAAGTGGCTGAAATGAGCCCAGTCACAAAGAGTAATTGGGCATATGGGATAGTCTGGTTATGCAAGACGGAATACTGTGCCGTAAATGGGAAAATGCCCGGGGAAATAACGGTCACCTTCAGACGATTGCGCCTAGAATCAAGATTACAGATGTGCTCAAGTTATGCCATGATGGACGTACAGGAAACCACATGGGAGTAAAACGGACTGTGATGAAGAGAGATGTTACTGGATTCACTGCCGAGATGTCGTGATGGACTGGTGTCGCAAATGTACTAGTTGTGCGGCTGTCATAGAACCTCACACTCGTAGTAGGGGTGCACCACAGGTCTACGATGTTGAGGCCTCGTGGTAACGGGTCTCATACAGGAAGAAGACTCGCTATGACCGCAAAGCTAACAGTGAAGGCTTTGAGGAGGGATCGCAAGTTTGGATGCACAACCCGCTCCGCACCAAAAGAAAGTCGCTAAAGCTACAAGCAAAATAGGATGGACCCTACCGAGTCATGACGAGGATCAATAATATCACGTATCGAATACAGAAAGGTCTATGAGGGACGCCAAAGATTGTGCACGTCGATCGATTAGCGCAATATCATGGCATTAACCATGTCATCATGGCATGAGCCCAGTGGCGCGGTTGGTCCTCACATTGCTGGATAGCGTTATGTGACAATGAATCGTGGTAATATTGTTGTAACTACCTTTTGTCATTGGGGAAGAAAGGGACGGGTAGCTAATTATTAGACAGTTTTTAGTGTAGGAGCTCGATTATGTTATATTGTTCGTTATATGTTATATTATTCAGTGCTATAAATAAATGTAATGGCCCACAAATCAATATTATATCAAAATAACATTTATTAAAAAAATATACTCAACGTCAACAAATCAATTTGCATTATGAAATTACATAATATGTGCTTTGAGCAAATTGTTTTAAAGAAATTGTTTTTAGCGAATAATGAAATTTTCTTAATATTTTTTTTTTTACATACTATACTAATATAATAAAGAGAAAAGATTTGATTGTTTGTTTGCAACTAATAAATTCCGAAACTACTGGACCGAATACAAAATTATTTCACCTACGGGAACCTACATTATATGCGGTGAACATATGCTATGTTTTATGCCGAAAAACAGCAAATAGATTGATGAAAATGAAAGGAAAATTTTATATAGGGCATTAAAACGTTACTATAGTAACCGTTGTATACGATTCAATTTGTCATATGAATCGATATCCAAATAAACAATTCCCTGGGGACCACGCGAGCGAAGCCGCTGACGGAAAACTAGCATTCAATAAAATAACTTTATTTATAAATAACTAATTACAAAAAACGCAATTAGCATATATGATTTTGTATTTAATATTTAACTTAACAATACTAATTACTTTTAAAAAATTATCCTGGACCTCATCAAAAGACATATTGAGATGTAGTGAACTGTAAATTTGTAGATTATAACTACCTACCGTCTGATAGCCTTTATATTATTGCACAATCCTTCATTTTCTATATATTAATTGCTGATGTAGCAGTATTTAATAGCTGCCCTAAGTTAACCTTAGTATAAATTTAGGTTTGGCCTTCTTTAAGTCAATAAGGTTTGTATGTAAGGCTCAACAACAAAATCAGTTGTTATTATTATATTATTATTATCAAATTCACAATGTTGGATTTTGATACTATAAGAAGAGAAGCCGATAAGCTTATCCACTTCGTAAATGATTACAAAAATAACCTTTATTTTTTATTAATGCATGTACGTAAGACAAAATAATTATCACCTTTAAAACGATCCGTCGATAGTTTTAACGTATTTATTTTTAAAGCGCCCCTTATCTATTCGTGTGACCCCATTCCAATAAGTTACTCAATCTTATCTACAAGTACCAGGCTGCCATACTTGCATGGAATTAAAATACATTCTTTTTGCAGTTCGGCATGCGACCGCTACTGATGGCCGCATGGCACGGTCACCTCGAGGCCGTCAAGACGCTCGTCGCAGCGGGCGCCTGTCTTGCTGCCACCAACAAGGTAGTTATGACGCCTTGGTACTTTATATTTTATTCGTATAAAGTATAAATGCTGTATTAAGTTGCACAAACATACATTAAAATTGACACTTCACTACATAATATAAAAAAGTCGCTTTCTCTGTCCATATATCCCTATGTATGCTTAAATCTTTTGAACTACGCAACGGATTTTGATGCGGTTTTTTTTTCATATATAGGGATTCAAAAGGAAGGTTTGTTGTATAATATAAGCCGCTGGCGGAAAGCTAGTAAAATGACATTTCCGATACAAGCTTTTTAGAACATTAATTAGAACTCATTTGTCGTCATGAAACCATAATAAACGTTACCTTAAGTACCTTAGTCTTAGTTTTTTTTTATTTTTTTACGAGTCACTTATTATTGCATAAAGTTGATGATAAAAACTGAATATTTAATAAACGAATAAAAGGAGATATCCTGACATGCTCACTGCTAGACAACTCACGGCCTAAACCGCTGGTCGTAGAGATTTGAAATTTAGAAGGTACATTCGTCTTATTACGTAGAGTTGTACTTAGAACTGATTTTTGGAAATGGGCCACCCCGAAAGGGGCCAAAAAGGGTAAAATAGTTTGTATGGAAATTCTTTGTTTTTGAACCTATATCGAGGAAAGTTGCTATTTGGGTAATTTAAGACCCTACGAATGTAATAGGTTAAATTTTATCCTGAAAACTAGCACTTAATTGGATAAAATGAAAGTGAAAGATTTTATGGAGAATCAAAATGTTACCTTAGCAACCATTGTTGACAATTTGATTTGTCCTTATAATAAATCTATGGAATATTATTTACAAAGATTTCCTTATAATGTGATAAAAATTGATATTTAAGTAGGTACATAATTGATAACAAAAATAACATATTTTTTTATTTATTATGATACAAAACAGGATATAATTAATACGAAGCATAACTTGTTATTTGTCTTGCAAAATCCAATCATACCCAATAACATGTAATTCTAGCATGATTATAGTAGAACAGCATTTAAACTAATGATATTAATTTTAGGTTAAGTTGGACTTTGCAAAATAGAAAAACAGTGTGATACGGATATTATAATGACATAATTGTTGAATTTAATAGTAACATTACTTTATTTTTGAATTAATATCCATTATCATCGAATATATCTAGGTCATGATTAGTTCGACTTATCTCATTGTAAAAGCGGCACATACGGACGATTGGGTTATAAAAGGATATATTGTTGCGGAAAACTTGCAATGAAAATGTTTACGGATTAATCATTCTGTAAGAAATGTTGAAATTTATGGAGGATAGTAAGGATGGTAACTCAATGTGTGAATGAATAATTTTATGCAAATGGATCAAATCACTGCTTTCGTCTAACTTCCAGGGTTGCAAAATTAAACCTAGACAATCTCTCATTGTGAGATCTTAATTTACGAGATAGACTTTGTCGATAGGATATGCATCTCAGGAACTTTACACCCTCAATTAGTTTAGAATGAGTGTCATAAAAGGGTGACCAAACGATTGATCCATATTCAAGGTTAACTAAAGAATTGAATAGATAAAAGTTGCTGCGGGGATTTTTAAATTGTTTAGTAACTCTCAAGACGAAACCCAAAAGACAAGTTGCTTTGTTATTATTATATTTGTTATAATATATTATTATAATGTGCTTTCAAGGACATTTCTGAGTCAAAGTTTATGCCTAAATCTTTTGCTTGTTCGATACGACTTAGCGGAAGACCATCAATGTTGTAAGTGAAGCTTGTAACATTGACCTTTTTAGTAAATGTCCGTATAAAACACTTGTTGATAATCAAGGACATTTTATTGTTTCTGCACCATAGGGCAATAGTCTCCAAATCATGTTACAGAATTTGAGCATTAATTTTTTTTTAGTTACGGGAATACCTTCAAATCATCTGCGTATAACAAACAGGGACAATTTAAGTTTTTTTTAAGGTTATTCGTGAATATAATAAATAAGAGAGGGCCAAGGTGCGAGCCCTGTAGGACGCCAGAAGTTATAACTGCTGGCGTAATAGGTGCAAAAACTTCAGCTTTTAGTGCGACCAGCTGTGTCCTGCGAGCTAAATATGAATCCATACATCGCAACAAAGAACCATGTATACCCACCGATTGCAATTTTAAAGATAGTATATCGTGGTTGACGCTGTCGAAGGCCTTTGAGCAATCTGTACAAATTGAATCTACTTGTAAATCTAATTGCTGATTGTTGACCTATTTTTAACCTATTAGTACTTGAATGTTTTGAAAATATTCAAGCTGCAAATACAAAATTTTGAAAATATTCAAGTACTAATTATTTTATATACGAAACAAAACACAAACTATACATTTTGTGATATACTAGATGACATTAAATACTTCTACATCGCACTGTTGTGGTCAAAGTTGAGTGTTAAAATATTTTTTTTATAATTTAATTTGTAAAAATGTAATTGAATTCACTTCATGTTATAATTGATTAAAATGAACCGTTTAGTTTATTGTTAAAAAAGATAGGATGTAAGTTCCTTTTTCTGTGATAAATTAGTTGAATAGAAGTACAGGCCCGGATCTAGATAAGAGGGGAGAAAAAGTGGTGCTCCGGACGCCAGTTGAAATTCATAGACATATTCGCAAATTATGTAAAAAAAAAATGCGTCGAGAGGTCACCCAAGTTTCTGCCCCGGTTGGAAAAGTTTTATTTCCGGGCCTGTAAAAGTTCGTCATTGGCAATGATAAAATCATTAAACTTTATATTCAGGTATGAATAATATAACTATACTACGTCGATTGTATAAAAAAAAAGTAGTATGAAAATAGTTATGCGATACCACTCGAGCCAAGTCGCAGGCGAAAAGCTAGTATTAAATATGGTTCATCACGAGCAGCCAATATAATATCGGTTGGGGATTGTTCCTATTCGTTCAAACTGATATTTATTTTCTGGGTCATTCATCTGCAATAAATTGATAGCTCCGAGCGTTTCCTCCTAAAATCGAAGGCCCCATTGAAATTCATATTGTGTCCGTTTTCATCTAAATAAATGAGTTTTCCAATAAACTGTATTTGCAGGTAAATGATCACAATTGAATCTGTTTAATAATTTGTGAAAGTTTCATTTAGAAATACATTTTTGTAAAACGTTATTATGAATAAGAGCCGCTTAGTATCGAATTAAATAGAATAAGAAAAATCTGTCAATCAATATCACATACCGAAGATGGTCGACTAAAAGTTTTGTAAAGGAAACTAAAGACACCGTCATAGCCGTATATATATTTTGTTCTGAGATTTTACAATCTTTTTTGTTCTAAATTTGTGATCGACATTTAACTTTTATAAATTGCCAAAAGGTCTTACTTAGGCTCTGAGGGGAGATGACGATACCTTGAAACCGACGTAATTAGTGTAATTGGCATCTAATGACATTTAATCTTTTATAAATAAGACCTTAATAAATTATAATTGAACTACAACTTGTACCGATATATCCAAAAAATCATCGAAATACAACACCAGTAGAATCTCTTTTCAATTAAAACTAACTTATGAATCTAGATCTAAGTAAATTTAAAAGTTATTTCAGAAACATAATGACATGTTGCAATGCGCATGTTCCCGCGGCTCTCTGGACGTGGCTGCATATGCCATCAACCTTGGAGCCAGAATACAAAGCTCTGATGGAGCGGGTGATGCACCTCTGGCTTTAGCAGCTCGAGCTGGACACACTACCCTCGTGGAAATGCTTCTGGAGAACGGAGCTGATATAGATGCCGTTAACAAGGTATAACTCACACAAATTCACATTCCTATTCTATTTGTCCTCGAACGTAAATTCGAAAATTTTCGAATCGTTCTTATTATTTTGATAAAGTCATATCCGAGAAGATTACCTGAAACCCGACCATGGAGGTATATAATCTATTATTTGTGGTCTTGGAAAGCTCAACAAAGCCGTCGCGAAAGGATATGGGGTTCGAGTTCCGACTCGGACAACTGAGAATCTATCGAATTCCAATACAATTAAAAAAGATTAGTATGCTATGTTAATACTGGGAATAAAAAATAAATGAAATACAATATGATTATAACTACATTAAACCGACAACAGATGCAGACCGTTGCACTCGAGTTAATTCCGAAAGGTGTTGAGACCTACTTTTTGAGTGGAATTTAACTTTTAGAGGAGTTTCACACAACATAGTGTGTGAAAGTGGACCCAAGATGCGATAATTTTGTGAAGGTCATTAATGTAAACCGCCCGACTTTAAAAGAAATTTCATGAGTATTACCGCAGAGGTTATTTAAGTAACAGCTTTTAAATAAATATGATTTTTCACTAATTTAAGCTTTTTGAGGTCGATTTTAATTGGTATTATTATTAATCCAAAATGGTCAAAAGAAATATCTACGCCGCCATTTAAAACAAAATGGCGGCGTACATATTTCTGAACAACCCATCCATCATGGGTATCAAACGAAATGGCTTAACTTGTAGAATAGAATACATCAAATAAAAGTTTTTTTAAAAAGCATATTTGATGTTTTTCTTGTTTTATATTTTTACTTTCGTGCCGGGCATAAATTGTGCTATTCTGTTATATAACCTCGAGCCTGACGTAGAGCGCAGTTCTGCCATAGCCTGAAGTAGAATCAAATGAAACTTCAAAAGGTAGTAAAGGTTTTATTTCATTAGAAATCTATGATGTAACAGCGCTGAGTTCGTCGATGAGTTCGAGCCCGTTTTTCTTATTATTTGATTAGCATAGCTGAATAGTTAATTTTAAGAAAAATCAGATATCAGTCTATAGGTCAACCGAATTTAATAATTGCTTTAAATTATTTGGGTTGGTTCGCTCGGTGAAACGAAAATTGTCTGTAGGTATCTTACAGACTCCGGAAATATTTCAAATATAAAAAAATAATTTCAAAAATTTTCAGCAGCTATCATCTATAAGGTAATAAACTTTGACAAATGTCAAATGTTTGCGAAATACTTCTCAAAATTTAGTTTTTTGTTAAACTTTAGTGAGCTGGATGTGAGACATTAGGCTATAAACTCTAAAACAAACGTGTAAAAATATAGATCGTTGATACTATACGACTTTGACTCACTGAAAATTTAATAGTTTCGGGTGAACACATGTGCTCTCGAATGTACTTCACATGAATCAATCAGCGATCCTAAAATCAGCCTGACGAGAAATTCGGCACGAAATTGAGTTTCAGTAGATCGATAGTACCTACAAACAGCGGCACGACAATTTACCATATTATGTTCTATTTTGAACTCTAACCTCAAATTTCCAAGGAGTAAAATAAAGTGTAGTTTGACAATTCTGTTAACATGCTCTGAAATTCAATAGAATATCGAACGATGTCGTGATAAACATATTATCTCTTGTTTTATATTGCAAACACATGAGAATTAATCGTAACCGCAACACTGATTAAACGATTGTTTAAGAAAATGCAGAAAACTAGTTAACAATAAATTAAATCATTCAAATATTTTCTAATAAACATGTCTGCAACGTTTCCATATAATAAAAATAATATTATGAATGTGTCCAATAAGTACTGTTAGAACGTATAGCCATGCTCATAAAAGGCAATCTGCGTCTCACGAGTCGCATGCGAGTCTTTAGATCAAGTTTCAGCAGTTAAATAAAATATAGTCGAAACCCATTGAATCGTTTATTTTAATTAAATCTCATTATTTATTAAGTAGCACGACAATAAAAATTACTTTTCCCGGTGATTGATTTATTCAAACGACACCAACTAATCAATTACGTTGATAAGTAGCACCTTTCTTAATACTTTTAGGAAAACTTACGAGCTAGCTATATTACTCTCGATCAATGTCTCATTTGATCGATCAAGATTTATTTGCGTTATAATTGCTTGCCCAAGGATGAAATCAGATAACAGACCTCTGTACACATTTCCAATTGCCTTAACTCAGTAGTTTATAAAATGAATAAAGCCCCAATATCTGTTAAAGACGAGTAAACGATTTGTAATTAACACTCTATCATCGCCTAATGTAACTAAGCTATTTCTTTAAACTTTGTTCTATAAGGTTTGCCGCACTGCACTGCACGTTGCGTGCGAAGGCGGCCACTCTTCTACAGTTGCTCTCCTGGTTTCCAAAGGAGCGGATAGAGAAGCACGCGACATATCTGGCCGGACACCGCTCCACCTAGCGGCAGTACATCGACACACGGAACTCGTACGGGCATTACTCGACGCCGAATGTCACGTCGACGCCACTGATAATGTAATCTCTTACTCAGTTCTGTCACCCTAGTAGTATTACTAGGGAGTTTTCTACATCGTCATGAATTAAATTGTACTACAATTGTACTTATTATTAAAAGTACTATGTAGAGACTACTTAGAATCGAAAGTTCTAAGCTTTTAAAAATAAGATATGTCAGATCGCTCTGGGATCTTACTCTATCAGTAATAAGCATAGGGATACGAAGAATATTTCGATGATTCTGTAAATTAAGTTGGACATTATGTACTAATAACCAGCTAACTTGATAGATTTTATCTCATCCAAATGATAATCATAAGTAAATTATAATCAACCCGTTATGTAAAGCTCCTTTCAATTTTTCCTAGCTTTTCAATATAATTTTTTCTCTCAAAACACACTGTTTGGACTTCAGTCAATTTAATCTATTCTCAAACAACGCTCTTAACAAAAAATCTTTCCTCTGCGAATAAAAATTAAAAAAGTAAATTCTCGTTTGCTACGAAAGGTTAAACAAACGTTGATTTGATTAGAACAATACTGTGTATCTAAAAAGGGCTTCCATTATTGGAAAAATAACCAAACTTATAAAACTAACAAACACGCGATTGAAAGTGATATTTAAACTCATTATATTAAAGTAGGTTTTCGTTTTCACAGAACGGTGTAACAGCTCTGCAAATGGCATGTGCTCAAGGCTGCCGAGGGATCGTCGAGCATCTGTTGACATTCGGAGCGAACGTACATTTGCAAAATAATGTGAGTAAATTTATGTAGCAAAGCAAAACCGTTCATGAAGCAAAGTAATTAAAAAAAATATATTTTATCATTTTTTATCTGACACTGAAGACTGAAAATCCTATTAAATTTATATTATCTATAATACTATCTCGTTACATGAATTAAACACAAACCGACAAAATAACGCTTAACCTACTTGAATAACATTTTTTCTAGCAAGCTGCTTTTCAGCTGTAAAGCTTGTGGTGACTTGATTGGTTACTTAAAAAGGAAGGATGTATTTGAACTCTGATATCTAAGCTCATATTCATTTCGAAATCAGAGAGACTTACACCCGGTTTCTGAATTGAGAATTTGAAGTTGAGCACGTCTCAAACCGAGCTTAAGCCATTTTAAACGTTATTTTAACAGGTTTTCATTACTGAAATATAATTTTTTAATGATCAGTTGATAGCAGTTTTATAAAACTAGGACTTTTTGCTAAATAAAACGTAAAAAACTTAAGTTATTGAGAATAATCAGTTGAGATTTTGTGCTTTTCTCAATTCAGAAACCGGCCGTTAATCTCTTCACTAAGTACATACATTTAAGTCACCTTGTTATGTATTATGCTTAACGTCGCCAGGTGGGGTCCTCTGCGCTGCACGCCGCATGCGCAGCTGATGCTACAGACATCGTGGAGTTGCTGCTTGCACACGGAGCTGATCCCGCACTAACTGATCAAGTAATCCTATTTATTAAGCGAATAACCCTTTGACTTTTTCCAGTATATAAATATTTTGTGGTTATTGTATGTACAAATAAAACCATTTTTTTATTTCACATTCGACCAGGTTTAACACGGTATGCTTCCCCAATACCTACAAGTATTTTCCAAAGTGTACGTAAAACTTCAGCCAGTTTACAAAAAAACACAATACCATAATAAATTTATAGGTCAACACCTTCTGTATTAATTATTCCTTCTATTAATTACAAGTACGTAAGAATAACTAATTTGATAGTTTTTAAGTGTATCGTGTTCAGATTTGAATGAACTAAAAGATGATGGTTATTAGATGTGTTGTATCCTTTATTCAAATTGTCACAATCACTTGTGTGCCTCGGGCCTTATAGACATCCTTTTTATTTATCCAGAAATCCACAACTTTATTAATAATATAATTTATAATTGAAGCCAATTAGAGACCTCCATAAATTATAAACTTATTTAACTTCCGTTTGATAAATAATAAATATTATACTCGCACAGGAAGACCAATTATCTGCTGAAATTAGTGCGGTTAAAATTTTGCTTCGGCTCATATTGAGCAAAAGCTTATTTGATATAATTATTAACTTACTTGTTTACCAGCCTAAATTATTATTATGCCAAATAAATACTTTTAATTATGATACAAAGTAGTCAGACTACGCTATCGGTTCATAAATTCACGGAATTTGACGGGAAACCATTTGAGAAAAAATAATATCAAGGGTAGTAAGTTTCTCTCTTTGTTTTATTTCACATAGAATAGTCGAATTGATAAATTATTTTATTACAATATGAACCCACTCTACTACAATAATCTAGAAAAAAAATGTAAAAGGCTAGATAACAGCCTAAAATATATGTTATTTACACTAGAGAATTTTTAATAAATAAATTTAATACCGAGTTAAAAAAGATATAAGGGGACACCCGGGTTTGAACCGGGGACCTCTCGATCTGCAGTCGAATGCTCTACCACTGAGCTATATCCCCACGTGGATTCATTGTTGAAATATTCATTTTAAATTATACAAATACACAGCTGTCTAACGTCATCGTACTATTGTTTCATTAACATTGATACCGTAATCTACTCCCACTGAAAATGACTCATTTATAACTCCAAAACAAAATCAAATCATTTGTAAAGACCTTACTTTTGTAAAATTCATAAATATAAGAAATCATTTTACACAGCCTGGTAACAAGCAGACAGTGACTCTTATTATTTCATACTAAGACCCTATTGGGCACGGAACCCTAAAAATACATAGATGAACAAAAATGCTCCTGTTTTTTTTCTGAACTCGGTTAAATAACTCACCAATATTATTGAACATTAATACGAGAAAAATTACCTAATAAATAAACTAATAATGCATATTTCGCCAATGACATGGATGACATCATGTATTTGGAGTTGTATGATGTCATACGTTAATGTTATGAAGACGACACCTTGTATTACATTCAAGTAACCGAATTATTAGTTTAAAATCACAAGAATCATTACATTTCTCATTCACAATGCTATACTAAATTGATGAAATATAATAATTAGAACAAATTTTAACTTAAACAAAAATTTAAAATATTTCGTTCGGCTGTTTGGGTGGATTGTCTGAACATCGATGAAAATACGCTCTTAGTAGGGTAGGGTAGGGTTCGAGTGCCATCTCATAATACCTGGGGCTGGTGGATTTTTTAGCATTTTGTTGTGAAACAAGAGTAACTGCTGTGACTACTGTTTACAATATTAGATAATATTTTCTATGTTCTTGCAAATATTACATGTTATTTTCTGTGTCCCTAAATAAAACTGGTAAAATGGGTGCTTGTATACAGGGCCGCAGGTCAGGTTACACAATATCTCAAATTTCCGTAATTTGTTTTGAAATCAACTTCCAATGTATTAAAGTTGAAAATATAGCGGAGAAATTTGACAGATATAAAACCTTTTTTTAACCGAAGGGAACTGGTCTTATAGGCCCAACTAAGCTGTCAACTATGTAGACCTGGGCCTCTCGCATAATCCGGAATTCCCGAGAACTCCAACCAGAGGTGTGACTAACCTTTTGCCTATTATATCTTATTTGGAGAAGCCACTTACGACTAACTTCCTTTTTGCTTTAATGCAATCCATCAAAACTCTCAGGATAATACGACTAACATTATAATCTTCAAACCCTTTTGCGTAATTGTAGACACATTATATAAAATTATAAATTGAAGATATAGCGAGATCCGTATTATACGTTTATTATTCTCTGGTGTTCCATTCGTGTTTCACAGAATTTGTTAGCAAGCCCCAGGCGTTGAATATTTGAACGCTACGACCTCTACTCTTCTGTTTTGTAACATTACCCCTGTACACTTTGTTAAATAAGGAGTTTTCTCAAGATATAAATAACGTATTTGCTTACTTGTTATATCAAATAACATTTTAGGATTAGCATCAATGATAAAACCTTCTATTTCCGCATAAACATATTTTTCACTCGGATAGGAGTCGACACGAAGTTGTGGCACGCATGACTTTGTACAAAACCGACATGACCCAATGACTTCCGAAGCTTTTAAAAATCTTTCATTTGTTCCGTTCTTATATTTGTTTATTTACACCACAGAACAGAAAATTATACTTACTTGTTACCGCTATTAGTGCGCACATCAGCCACTTTTATCTATATCAATTTGTGACTATGATGTTGTTGTGTCTACCTATAGGATCGGTACTGGTATCAAGACCACGAGTTCTGAATTATGTAGATGTCGGCACGTCGTGACCTCTGCGCAGGCTCTGTTCTCCTGGTAGATGCGTTGATGCATAATAGAAGAGACAAATAAACCCCTCAAATTCTGGAGGCACGGAGGTGGCCCCTACCGAGTGGAGTAAATAGCAAAAAGGCACGCCCGTGCCATTATTTTCTTGATTTCATTTGTGCCATTTTCGAGCATAACTTTTTTTGTGAAACAAACTAGAAACCTAAAAAGGACATTTGTTTGTACAAATTTAAAACTTTGAAATCCTAGAGAATCTGTAAGTATTAGGAACAATAAACAATTAAAAAAATAATTTCAGCATTCCATATTTGCTTAAATTTTCCTACGCTGCCACTTCTTGCCCAAAAAGTCAGACATTATATAGCGTACTAGCGTTCCGCCAGCGGCTTCGCCCGTGTGATCTAGTTTAATCCAGAAATGAGAAAATACCATAAAAATTTACCCCCTTAGTTAAAAATTCAAGATGTTTCTACTAAAAAAATGGTTGTTGTGCCTCACTCGACATAGATAGGTGTAGTGTGTCACGGACTTTTTTGTAGATATTATAAGATCTACAATTAATTAGAACATATTACGAGGGTCAAACTGAAAGTTCTTAGAAAATCAAAAACTGATTACATTAGCCAGTTATTAGTTTTATTATATCTTTTCAAAATATTGTCCATTCACGTCAATACACCGCTGCATGCGATGGAACCACTGGGAAAAGCACTTTGCCCACTCGTCCTTAGGGGTCTCTTCAATGGCATCGCGATACGCAGCCACCGCTTCTTCAGCATTCATAAACCGCTTTCCTTTAAGTTTTTCTTTAATTTTTGGAAATAAATAAAAATCACAAGGCGCGAGGTCGGGGCTATACGGCGGGTGACCCAGTAATTCAACGTTTGATGTCGCCAAATAGTCGATCGTTCGCTTGGCGGTGTGCGACGAGGCGTTGTCGTGGTGAAGGAGGATCCTACTGCGAGGTCGTTTCTCTCGAACTTTTTCCAAGACAAGTGGCAAACAATTGGTAGTGTACCATTCTGCAGAAACTGTTTTTTGATCCTCTAACACAATTGTTGCAAAATGACCTATCCTTCCAAAGAACGAGGCCACCATTTTTTTTCCCGCACTTCGATCTCTCTTCACTTTAGTTGGCAACTCCTCGAAAGGAAACACCCACTGAGCAGATTGTCTTTTGGTTTTAGGATCATAACAATAAATCCAGCTTTCGACACCTGTTAGTATGTCGAACACAGCATTTGAGTCACCTCCGTTAAACCTTTCAATCATTTTACGACACCAATCCACACGATGGAGTTTTTGAGCCTCAGTCAAATTATGAGGTATCCACCGGGCGCAAAGCTTCCTGACCGCTAAATGTTCGTGGAGGATTTTGTGCACTTGACTCATACCGATGCCTAAGCTTGTCCGAATCTGTTGATAGGTCACTCTTTTGTCAGTCTCTATCATACGCCGCACAACACAGATGTTATCTTCAGTCGTCGCCGTAGAAGGCCGTCCCTCACGTAAATCATCAGTGAGATTAGTGCGACCACGTTTAAACTCATTAAACCAGTTGTAAACAGTCGCACGAGATGGGGCTTCATCGTGAAAGGCCAATCGTAGTCTATCATAACTTTCTTGTTGACTTAAATGACATCGAAAGTCATAAAAAATCATTGCACGAAAATTTTCTCGTGTTAAATTCATGATGACGTGACACAGACAATTTTCAATTTGCCGCCAAATCGTAAAACAAATGACAAATGAATGAAATATATACTCAGTAATATTGGCAAAGAGTTATATTTTCAAATTTTAGAATCATTTTTTTATTATATTGTTTATAAGTGGCCAGTTCTAAGAACTTTCAGTTTGACCCTCGTATTGTTCTATCTTTTATAGCTTAGGGAGCGTACGCAAATAAGTAACTTTTCTGGTTGATTTTTTACATCTTGTGTCCGAAAAGCCCAAATATCTCAAGGAGCCCTATTTTTTCCAAAATAAAATATAGCCTATGTTACTCGTGGATAATGTAGCTTTCGAATGGTGAAAGAATTTTTAAAATCGGCCCAGTAGTTTTTAAGCATATTGATTACAAACAAAGTTTTCGTCTTTATAATATTAGCGTAGATCAAGACGAAGTTAAAATATATGACTTATCTTGCTTTAGTTTAGTTTAGAGGAAAAACTACATAATTATTTGTTAATTTTATGTTTGTGACTAACCAACTTAATAAAGTATTTAATCATAAATAAATGACTTATTACAATTTCACAAAAAAGAAGAACACCTTATTTTTGAAAATGGAACTACAATGATCACAGTAGTTTGGTAAAACTCGAAGATAAAATTATACATTTAACTTTTTATAAAATAATAGCTTTCCGCCAGTGGCTGTGCCCGTATGGTCCCAGGGAACTTTTAATTTGCATATCGATTTATGTCATAAAATGGATATATAATTACAACAACAAATTGAATAGTAAACAATAGCTACTATGGTACATGACTTTACTCTAACCAACCGCCTTCAAATAGTTAACAGGGGGTGCAAACCGACCTTTGTGACTAGATCTAGGCAAGAAGTTCTTGATGTGACCTTTGCTACCAATAACTTAGCTAGGATGATAAACAACTGACTAGTTAGTGATGAAACCTCAATGTCCGACCATAAAATCATCACTTTCGAACTAAACACATCAAACATGTACGAAAATATCAACTTTAGGGATGCTAAAGCCACAGACTGGAGATTATATAAACAAAATCTCTAGGATAAACTTAAGGATATACCTAAATCTATACGAACATGTGAAGCGCTAGAATACACTGTCGATCAAATAACTGAAACCATGAAAGCCTCCTCTGAGGAAAGTTGCCCCCTGAAGATCAAAAGGGACAACAAGATACCATGGTGGAATAGCAAACTCAGAAACTGAGGCAAGAAACGCGTAAACTATTCAAAAAGACAAAAACGACCGGTAACTGGGACCGATATTCTAATGCCCTAATCACGTACAACAAAGAAATAAGAAAAGCAAAAAGACTATCGTGGAGAAAATTTTGCGAGGAAATTAACAGAATACCTCAAGGAGCTAGAATCCATAGAGTCTTAGCTAAATCACCATCTAATCAACTAGAACTCCTAGCGTCAACACACTTCCCACGCTCGGTATTAATAGCTAAAGACACTATAAATATCATGCCTTATAAACGCATCTTTAGGCCTACAAATGAAGACTGGAAGAGTACAGCAAAAGACATCAGACCAAATATCGAAAACTGGCCAACAGAGTCTATTAAACCATATAAATCTGCTGGTGAGGATGACATATTCCCAGCCCTACTCCAACAAGGTAGAGACATCCTCACACCTATTCTGGTAAAAATCTTTAGGACGAGTTACGCTTGGAAAATGATACCAGATACCAGAAAAATGGACAACGGTTAAAGTCCGGTTCATTCCCAAGGCTGGTAAAAAGGATTATGTCCAACCGAAATCCTTTAGATCAATAAGCCTAACCACCTTTCTTTTGAAAAGTATGGAAAAAGTCATTAACATATGCATAAGAGATGGACCCCTAAAAAATCGTCCTTTACATGCAAAGCAACACGCATATCAAAAAGGCAAATCCACAGAAACTGCCTTACTTGAACTTACAGATAGGATCGAAAGGGCTATTGAAGACAAACAGATAGCTCTCTTTGCCTTCCTAGACACTGAACGAGCAAAGGACAACGTTACCATTGAATTCTTATCCAAAGGAATGAGGGACAAAGGGATCGACAACATAACGACCAAATAGATCGAAGCAATGCTCCTAAACAAAAACTAATTGAAGGGCATTCACAAACAGTAGCTGAAGAGATCTTGAAGCTAGAGAGAGCAAATAAAATTACAATTGTACGAACCTTATCTGGACACTGCAAATTAAACAGACACCTATTTAATATGAAACTAAGTGACACTGACATTTGCAGATATTGCAAACAGGAACGTGAAACACCAAAACATCTCCTGTGTGAATGTGTACCACTGATCCACAAACAAATCATACATCTAGGACGACATATAATCAGCCCAGAAGATATAAAATCTCTAAAAGCCAGGAATATTATAGACTTTTTGAAGTCTACCGGACTAAAAGAGTTACTATAGCTCTGGCGGCGAGTCACAATAGATCTTCAAGGTTCCTTACAGCATAGCCCCTTACAACAATAAATAATAATACTATGGTAACGTTTTAATCCCTTATACAAACTTTCACTTCCATTTTCATCTCTTTATTTACTGTTTTTTGGGATAAAATTTAGCCTATGTTCAAATCGATCCAGTATTTTCGGAGCCTATTCGTTGCAAACAAACAAACAATTAAATCATTCCTCTTTATAATATTAGCATAGAAGACGTAATGTATCGAATTAAAGACATAATGTATTTATTTCATCAAAGTGACAAATAAAGTGTAACACGACGCAGGCTAAATGGCTATAATGAAATCACTTCGTAAGATAAGAGTCATTTTAGCCCCTTGTGTAACAATCAACCTACTATTTTACTTGATGATTATATTACCTGTGATATAAGTTTGGGATTTGATTATTACGTTTCAATTAAAGTATAACAGTATGTCCTAATATAATCTAATTGCTTATTTATGTAGGTGGACATCATTATGTCGTTTTTATTAATCCTGTATAAATTATACCAGCTCTAAAACATCCACGGTAACTGGAAACTCGAGGGAAATTAAACCTAGCGATTGTGATGAATCATTATTGTGAATAATTTCACTATCAAATTTTCAGCGCACGGTTATCAAAACTGAACTTTATCAGCCTTCCCTATGGGTGTAATCGAATCAGATCGAAAAGGGAGATTAGGCCATGACCCACCACGATAGCAAATGCAGCCGAAATCGACAGCTTACCGTTTCGAAGCACGGAAAAGCGCGAGATAATACATTTTTGGTCATCCATCCTATGACCGGCCATAGTGAAAGTTGCTAACCAATGCGCCATCAAGCTGCTAGAAATAAAAAAAATGTAAAGTTCATTTCGATGGAAATTCTCCATAAATCCTTCGGTTACAATAATGTTATTCGAATGTTTATCGATTTTTCCTATAAAAAAGAAGGGTATTAAGAGAATTTATGAAAAAGTTTTCTGTCATAACTTTTTCTCATTTTAACAGTTTTTGGTGTAGGTGTCTTCTTAAGATGTTCTGATGATCTCTGAGATCCTGGATTAGATTCGCAGTCGAGTTATACAGAAAATGTTCTTTGGTTTTGTCTCGGGTGTGATTGGTTGTAGTATCTTGGTTATTTCAGATTTCTATTTAGACAAGGTTTTTAGTTAGACTACGTCCAACTTCCATGAAATTTGGACGATGATACCACTCCCGATCGAGGGCATGCCCAAGATTTTTGGCAGGTAGACCCCCGCGCTATGCAGGGTCAATCACATATAGGTACTTACGTTGCCGCACTGAAGGAGTGCGTACATACATTGGTTAGATTCCTAAAGCCCTCGTTACATAGGGTATTTGAAACTAAAATGGTACCATAACATCTAGACACGAGGCCATATAGAAAAGTTCATTTTCTACATTGACTCTACTGGGAATTGAACCAGAGATCTCATAGATTGCTACATCTGAAACCAGCGTTGAAACGACTCTGTACGGAGCTAGAGGTCTAATATTTATTCGTTTACTTGTCACCAGTGGTCGCAGTCTCCAGTGAGCGTGGCCGGTGGTGGTGCTGCAGACGGACCCCCCGAAGGATTTCGTAGAGCGGCCCGAGGCTCCTTCTCCGCCATCTTGGATCTCCTAACAGCAACAGCTAATGTTGATCATCATCAGGTATGGACATTTACGTTCAACAACTGTAAAATAAGCTCAAATTCTTGTCACTTGCGAACCTGTCAAGTTAAGCGCTGGGAAAATATTTATTTTTCCTTACTTAACTGTCGCCAATTTTATAAAACATGTCTTTTTATACAATATAAACAAAACACTACACAGCCGAACATAATGACCTTACATAAACCACTTAAATAAACTTATTATTGCCAATTGTTGCATATTGTAGCGTAATTTTAAGAATTGCGTGATTATAAAAAAATGAACTTATCAAACTCGGGCATGTTTTTTTACGATTTTAAATGTAATTTGACAGCTCATTTGGTGCTTTTAGCGAAACAAACCATGCAAAAGAATTGTGACTATAACTGGCTTGCTGAATTCAAGGAAACACGTATCAGTGCGTAGAAATACATATTTTTATTTGCCATAGGTAGATACCTAATTATTGAAAATTTATGTTGCGTTTTACAAAAGCTATTTAACGCAAAAGAAAAGTACTCGCAGTTATATAGGCACTAGCTCAAATATCATAAAGTGTGTAGGTAATAGATGACAACGAACAGACTATTTCACTATTTCCGAAACTAACTCCCATAATACAATAGAAAGATATAGAGGTCTCCAACTCTTTTAACTACTTGAAAGCCAAAACTTAATTCTGTTAAATATTGATTTGAAGTGGACAAGTAGGTACTTACTTCGCAATATAATTGAACTTGTATTGTACAAGTTGTGATGTAGTTGTGTATTGTTGTATGAATAAACTATTTATCTATCTATCTAACTAATTAATCTACTCAGTCAAAAACCTAATCCAAAGTCAGGGTAATTAATTACCTGTGGGTATAGACAGAGTTTCAGTAATCTAAGGGGAAGAACTTGGGCGATTGCCCAGTGCTGTAAATAAATGGAAGCGGCAAAATTGAGAGACGCTTCTCATTTTCTCTTAAGAATAATACTATAAGATTTAGTAGTCCGAAAAAAATATTTCGAAGGTTTCAATTATCACAAACCACAATAGGTTAGTATCAGGATTGTTGCGAATATAAACATAAGCATCAGCATCAGCTGATTATCAGCATTGTTTTTAATATCTTCTTCTTCTTAATAACAGTTTTTGGAGAAAAATAAATCTAATAATCATTATAATACTTTTATTAAATACCAAATATTTTATAATACTTTTCCCAAAACAGTAATACAACAAATGTAGCCAATTATCACGAGCGAAGTCTCGGGAGAACAGTTAGTATTTAACAACAAATGGAATGATGCCTGGATAAAATAAAGAAATTCTGATTAGTCCGTCGGTCAGTCAATAAAAAAATATTAAATACGTTTTTTTGCTTAAATTTAACAAGAAATTACTCAGATAATAGGCATTAAAGTTGAGGAGTGGGGTTTTCTACGTCACAACTGTGTAGAAAATGTACAAAGATGTCTTCGCGGGATATTTTAAGCCAATGTATTTTATTGATTAAATAAAAATATTACGAGTTAAATATTCTCCATTAATGTACCTCATGGATCGACAAACAAAAATTAGTTATCATCCCTATTGACATTGACAGCCTCAAGCAAATTAAGTTGACAAAACAAGCTAATGAGCAATCATGTGCTCTCCACGTGAGTTGCGCTCGTTCTGGCCATCAAGGAACGGGTAACGACTTGAATGACAGCATTAAAATCAGCATCGATTGTTGCTGGTGCGGATGCTGATCCTGATATCAAAAACAATACTGATAATAAGCGGGTGTTGACGCTAATGCTGATATTCGCAACAAATCTGGATGAACCAAACTACCCAGAGATCCTTACTGAGCCCACATGAAGATCCCAATGAGGATTGGTAGCACTAAAGCACAGATATTATTAATGGATGAAACCTAAATGCCCAGAATTCCTAACTGGGCCAGCTGAAGGTTCCAATCCGGATTGGTTGTGCTACCGATATTCTACTCAGTAATCGGTACGGGGGCCGCGTGGTCGTCCTAACTCGTCCCGCCAAAAAAATTTGACCACCTATCCGATTACCGGCATTTGCGATCGTCGTCTCCGCAATCGCAGGTCAAATGCACTAAACACTACATCATAGAGTTTTTATAGAAGGCATATTGCCATAGTTTTGTTAAATTTAATATATCTTGATGATATAGGAAGATTGCGCATCTAAATCGCTCCTTGCTTTTACTAAACAGAAATCGAAAACAAATCGAAAGCAGGACGAGCATTCGTCCGCCCTCATACATTTGTAGCGATATGACAGACATGAATTTTTTTCTATAGAATCAAAATTGTAGCATTTTCTTTTTTTATCATCGAGTTTAAAGTAAAACCACGAAAAAAACACTTATTTTATTTGTTCTATAATAACGATCTACCCAGTGGCGTAGCGTTTCTTAGTGGGGCCCCTTATAAAATTTGTTTGGGGGCCCTTATGTTGGGTAAAAAATTTTCACATAAGAAAACAAAAATTGTATAAACTGTACGAATTTTTATCATATATAAATCGATTACTATGGGATTCCCCCGTTAAAGTCTGACTTAAACAGAGATATCCCGCAGCCCGCAAAATTGGTGGCAGGGTGTTGCCAACTTTGAAACGCACGCTCTACGTGGAAAAAAGAAATTGCTTTCTTGACTTTGGTCATTTCTGAAATAAAAAGAAATTCGGGAAGTTTTTATTATTTTTTTAATACGCACGTTGGGGGCCCCGTATAATTAATACGGCATATACGGCGGTAGCTACGCCTCTGGATCTACCACACGATATGAGGCAAGCAATGACTAAAATTGATATTAATTTTTTTCATTACATATACATAGTAAATAAATCACTTTATTATTTTTTTTTTCTTTTATCAATATTGTACGGTACGGTAAATAACTTGACATCAAATTTTATAAGACGTGACAGAATAACAGTACCTATTATCCATACACAAATTAACATATTTATGTAATCGTGTAGATTTGATCTGCCCGGTTACATAATTATACGAATAATGTATTAGAAAATCCAGTTTTTAATAAAAAGGGACGTAACAGTTTTTGGAACGTTACGTAGTAAACAAAAAGTTTGTTTTTTTATAATTTGATTAATAATAATACTTCAATACCTAATGTTTTGTTCTACAAAACTACACTTAAAATTTTTAAAATATGCTATCTTTTTTATCAATCCACTTCATAATAATTTATTTCCGATTTCGTACAACGTTACATTCCATCTTGTTTTTAAAGATTCAGAAGGGACCTCTTATTTTGAAAATACTCAAACAGTTTTGGCATAGCGCTGAGAGGTAGAAGTAATGTACGAGTATAATAATATATTGTGTAGCCTTAATTAGACTATAAAAATACCTACTTACATAGGTAGGTACAAAACGAACTTAAAGTCGTGTTCCCAATGCTAAATAACTTGCGTAGATAAGTAAGTATATTGTTATTCTGATACGAATATTAAACTGCTTTTATCCTGTGACCTTTAAACACAATACGAGGAAAGCCTCGAAGCAATTTTCTGTGGCAACATTACATTTGATAGGTACGTAATTTACTTGATCGTTAAGCTTGGGAACATGGCCCAGCTTTTTGTACTGAATATGTTGTTCTTAATTAATCATTTTAAGTAGAATTTCCATACATTTTAGGTAAAATAAAATACAATTACTACTTAAAATACTGCCTGCCCGGACAATACAGCTACTTAGGTACCTACTTTATTTTAGTACATTTTTACATTGATTTTACACGGTATCGATTATATCATTTTTTTAATTATAACTATTCAGCGAATGGGATTAATTCAACAATGTGATAAGTAGTCACAATAACAACATCAATAATAAATTTCGTTTCCGATTTTCTAATAAAAAAAGCTACTTAAAAGCCTGTGTTACAAACGTGAGTCGTTTGTAACGATACAGACGAGATAGTGTCGTAGCTTGTAAAGTCAACAGCATATCAGGCTATACGAAACTGTCAAATTTCTCCATTTGATTTTAAATCTTAATACATTTATCATACATTTCAAAATCAATTGCGGAAATTTGACAAATTGTGGTAACCTGACGTGCAGTTGTGTGTTTAAGCATTGTCTGATCTGGTGCGTTTCTCGTCTATATCGCTACATTTGTAGCGCGTTTAAAAAACGCAGTGTACACAGGCTCTTAGGACTGAGAATAAAGACAAAACCTTTTATCTTATAGGAAGTTTTTTAACTCACTCTCTAAGCCCTTGCAATGCACAACGATATAGATAGATACTGTACTATAAAAAACAATTAATAAGAATACTCTCAAAACAGTACCTAGGATTATTGTAAAAAAGTGTTGCACGTAGCTCTCGGCTGCAAAGTAATTCTCATATTCGTGGGAGAGCCACGCTTCAGCATGAATGGGCCGGCTCGACCGGAGTGATACCACGGCCTCGCAGAAAACCGACGTGAAGCAACGCTTGCGTTGTGTTTCGTCGTGTGAGTGAGGGTACCGGAGGCCCAACCCCTCCCTACTCCCTTCCCTCTACCCCTCAACCCTTCCCTCCAAGGCCGGCAGCGCGCTTGATAGCTCAAACCTTCTTGGTGCTAGACAGTTGTAATGTCGCATGAGTACGACGGTAATCACTGACCGAACAGGTAGAAATACCGTCTTGCAAAAGATCGTCTGGGGTACCTCAACGCACGTAAAGTTGAGAATGAAAATCACTCTTCATCTTCCCCATAGAGTCTATCGTTAGGTCTTTTGTCTGATAGAAAATATTAAAGGAATGCGAAGAGCAATTTTAGGCAAATTTGGGAAGTTCGATACTTATTGGGTTTTAAAGTGCCAATTCTCATTAGAGTAGTCCCCCCCCCCCCCAAACTAACCTAATTCAAACGTCACGGCAGTAAAACCTTTATATAACGAAGTTAAATGGAAAACTATCACACTTAAGTATTACACACTTACAAGTTATCAAATTTTGAACATAAGATAATGGTACTTGGTAGATTTTATTTCATTCACGATTTGATTGTGTCAAAAACTATGGCGAAAATATAGTGTACCCAAAGTGTACCTAGTTTTCTATTTTTTATTATAATAAGTTTTTTAAAAGCTTTTAATCAACTCACCTAGTTCCATTACCCAAAGTCCGATACTCGAGTACCGGTACTCGAGTACCAGAGTACCTGCTAGCGATTCGAGTCAGTATTCGAGTACACTAGCTACCTTTGACGTGTCAAAGTGCAAGTTTGTCACACTGAAACTAGAAAATTTGATTTAAAGTTGCTGCAGTTGTCATGGCAAACTTGAAACGACTCTTCTTTTTCGAAGTATCAAACTTGTTGCAAGTCAGAAACAAGTTTAAATTGGTATCTGGGAGGGCAGGTTAGGTTTACGTCTTCGAGGCTAGCAGAGATGGTTGCCAGCCACCTCTGTATTACAGGGCCTCACCTGTCTGGGAGTAGCTCTCGATGAACCGGAGCCTCTCCATCTGCGTTGGAACCAATGGTTCAATACTTGAGTGTCTTGGTGACTCGGCTGCAGCTAGGTGAGTTCACGGAGAAGTCCTAATCACCCCGTTGCTTGCCGGGTCTGTTACCCAGAGCCAATAGCATTTCCTCTACGTTAAAGAAAGTTAAGTTCACGTCTCAGTAGATACTTTCGCCAAAAAGGTACATAAATTGTAAGAATGCTTTGAAAAAAGGTCAAACCTGCAAAACTGCTAAAAGGATGATTCTTAAAAAGATCCTGTAGCGAAACGTACGTACGACAACCCAAGTTAGATATATAATTTCTTTTCCTTTTTCATAGTTTTATGTTACCCTTTCTTCTTTTTGACATTTTAATCGCTTTACTTTAAAGTTGGTATTTGCAGTCCTCACTAGAGATACAGGTTTATTCACCGGTCATGAGGCTCATGCAATATTACATGAGTTTGAGGGTCGGTGCAAAATTGATAGAGCTTAGTCAAGCACCTCACGGAAGTATATATAAGGAGAGAATTTCCGTCGAGTGTACGATGTCGAATTTATTATCATTTATTTTTTTAGTTCTCTGACGTTCTGCGACAAATCAGACGCGCATGTCTGACGAAAGATACGTGGCGGCATGTCTGTCGACCCTAAGACGTTTATTGACAAACAAAGTCGCTTGAGCGCTCAGACTTCGGATAGAAAAGGAAGCGTATTTAAATGACCATCGCAACGCTCATGCACTATCAAGTTTAATCTGGAGCAAGTGTTTGATCTTCGAAAACTCCTGAATACAACACGCACGTCTAACTGCTGATCGTAACACATATACCGTATAGAGAAATGCGGTAAAGCTCTTACAGAGCTCGATCTTTGTAGTATAAAGAGCGAGAAAGTAGTTTCGTTTATCGCCAATTAGTGTTGCCTTCAATCTGCCTGTACCCCACAAGCGTACCTATATAATTAAATGTTAACTAGCCACGTAAATTATAACCTATGTCACTGTTAACTAGCCGCGTAAATTATAACCGAGTAAGACGTTTGTTTCCGTGGGTGAAAGAATATTTAGTCTGTTTAGTGGTTTCGGACCCAATTCGATGCAAAAAAATGGATTTTTTTCATCTCTATAAGATTAGAGGTTAGCGCATTCGATTTACGATGCGGTTAAGTAAGTAAATTCTTTATTGCACAACAAGAAAATGACACGAACATACATACATATATATTTTTCATACATAGCTATGTACTAAAAACAAACTTAGCGCTGGCCAGCGATTTTTTAAGGCATTTGATGGAAAAACAACAACAAATAATAGATTGCGTGTATAACTAGACGGATTAACAAATAACATTTAAAAAAAAACAAATTCAAAAGAAGAACAATGAAGAAGATTAGTAGGTGCTCAGAATCACTTGAAACTTTTTAGGAATGGTGCTTCAGGGCTACAAAATGCAACTGTTTTTGTTTTATTTAAAAATTCGAAGTAGTTTTAAAGTTACAGACATTGGAAGTTAACCGAAAAATGAAATCTCCGTGCACGCGCGGGCTTCGCGTGTGACGTCATTGGACACCACGCGGTGCCTCGCGCGCTCACAGCTCTGCCGCAGGTCGCCACGAACACTGATACCTACTAACCGCGCGTTACGTACGAGTTTGTCTCCCGACCAATAATAATTATTTTTGTTTAGTACCTAGTTGTTTAATTTGAAACATGGAAGAAGGCTTTCAAAAAGGACAATCGAATAACTTGCCTAGAGTGGATGGTTTGATGGTGGCTCAATATTTCACGAAAAATGCTGATTTCGTAGCCGCTGAAATGCGAGGAGTAAAAATGAAAAAGTAAGTAAGAGCCTCATTTGTTTATGCACATTTACACATATCACATTATTTTTTACCGTTTAACGCGTTACAATAATACTGTATATATAGGTAGGTACGTAAGTACATTTTTGTATGTATGATCGTTAACATAGGTTAGGCAGTAGGCACAGTAGTATGATACGTACAAAATATAATCTAGTTACGATTACGACATGTATTAACACAAGAATTTATTTTAAACTTTACCTTTACAAAACATTGAAAACTTTGTCAGGGGTTCTAAACATTGGCCGATATGGAACTTTCATGAAACAGGTGGGTACTTAGTAAGTATACATTTTTTAATGAATGTATTGTAATGAACTATTTTATTTATTTATTTTTTAGATTAGGGAGAGATAGTTATGGAGATGATGCAATCGGCTATGTACAAGTAAAAAGACAAGGAGACATTTGCATCGTAAAGTGTAGAATCACACCGGAGCATCGAGTACGCACAAAACCTTACCACTGTTCACTGGAGTGCAATGAAAAAGAGGACGAGGTTTTGTCCGTTACTTGCAATGATTGCGCCGCCAGTAAAGGTGGATGCAAACATAGCATGCAAACATTTGAACTGTCTAGCTGAAACGACACCTGAGATATTAACATTTTTAATAAATCGTTGTATCAATGCCATCTAGCGGATAAAACTTTTTGTAGTTTTTAGTATTTGTCGTGGTGGCGGACATTCAAACTCAACTTTTGTCCATACATGACAAGCTTCTATCTATTCAAACTTCCGAGAAAAAGCGGTGTGACAGACATAAGGTATAATATTTGGGTATCGACGGCGACGTCTACGTACGTACAAAGGTATAAGATTTTTCCTAGGTAAAGCCAGTAGGAATCGAGTTGTAGGCACACTTCGCCACTGCTACCTACCTGTACCTACGTACGTGTGTAGACTTAGAGGAAGTACGGCACCCTTGGCCGGTGAGTATGACTCGCACTTGGCCGTTTATTACTATGCAATATGCATTCATTTGTAGTAAAACATGCATTAGCGAAGGTTAAGAACCTCTGGAGCGTTTACTTTTACCTAACCATTTTTTATAATGCTAAGCCAAACATTGAAATGTAATACCAAATGTTTCAAACCCCTGACATAACATTAAAACGTGACACTACCCCACCCACGCTTATTTGTCATATTATTGTTTCAATATAAATAACAGTGATATTACGACTACTTACATCGAAGTAATCTTCACAACAATAAACAGAACTTTTGTTACTGGGCGGGTTATCTCTTTTAATAGCTTGCATCCATTTTTTTCTCATTTTGAGCTGAAATGGAACTTTGAAAAACAACTTTTCTGGCGAACTCACTGTTGTTGACACACATTTTGGTACTATACACCATCTATAAGTCTTTATTGACATGTCTGTAGCGTAAGTAAAAATGTGTAGGAGACAGCTCGTCGCGTGGTGTGGTGAACAATGAACAGGCAACAAAGTGAGCTCGGTTCGGTGTCTAGCGGCGGCGGGACGGCGCGGCGCGAACATGTCCAGTGACGTCACACATGCGAGCGCGGTCGAGCGTTTCTAGCGAACTTTAAAAAATTAATATCTCGGAAACTACTAATCGTATCGAAGTAATTCTTTCGACGATTTTTTTCTTATTTTATAGACTATATGAATAAAATAAAATAAAATTTCACTAATGAGATTCATTGAAACAACGTGGCACTTATAAGAGTATACCTAATGTACAATAAAAATAGTCAGACACAAGAGCAGAGAGAAGTGAGAAAAAAATAGAAAAATAACAATCGTAAGGGCCGTTTATAGGGTGGATGGCCAAAACATTATTTTCTTGAGTTCCTCCGTGCTTCGTAATGCAAGTTAAGCCGTTGGTCCCAACTGCATCAGTAGTCGTTAACACCCAGCAATTCGCATTGGGCGGACCACTGATCTTACTCGATTGGATCCCAACCTTAGGAAAGAAACAATTCTCCTGATATACTTTCCCACGCAGATGAAGTCGCGGGCATAGCTAGTATTATTATATGCCATAACTTCGTCAGATGGATGAGTTTAATATACTGAATAACTTTTACTATGGGAGCAACACAGAATTCACGAAAAAATAATCAGCTGTTTCATTCAAATCGCCAATAGTATGAAACAGCGGGTTTTTTCGTGAAGGGGAAGTCGATCACATGTGAAGAAATAAAAAAAAATATTTTACCACTTTGTCGTGTCGGCGTGATTAATGTGTGTACAGTCTTTTTTGAAGTTGATTAGTAAAAAAGCTACTATTCAATGAATTTTAATTTTGTTTATTTATATTATTTTTTCAGGACCATTCCGATGGATCGACAACACCCCGTGATAAATCCGGGGGACATTCGCCCGCAGCTAATGAAGGTACATTATGTTTTTGTGTAACCTTAGTTCTATTTTTCCCTCGAAATTAAAGTTTATGAATAATATAGAACAGATAACTAGTTAATCAGTTTCATATGTAGCTCGAGATCCTCCTAAATGTGTTATCTTTCCTTCAGTTTTCTTTCTTGCTCCCCCATGCCTTGGAAAGTTCGTCAAACCATTAGTCCCGGCTGCGTCTGCAGTTATTTATACCCACCAAGGCGGCACGGAGTCCGCCTTTTTTCATCAAGCTCTGTCTGCGCATTCTATTATGGTCAGTTATCTCTGTTATTTGACTTCATCCATATGAAAGACCAGCTGTAGGAGGAAGCGTAAGCTGATGATGTACATCGATTTTTTAAGAGTTATTTAATGGTCAAACATTGTTTTTAAGGCGAAGAATCTGTAAGCGAGCGGTGATGGTCGGCTAGTACGCTGTTGGACCGTCTAGCGCAACGAGGGTTTGCCGCTGACACAAGACTAGCGCTGCCACCAACTGGTAAATTGTGCTGAAGTTACAAACTATACATTATTTTTTGGCGCTGTTTGCGGTGAGAGTGTAGTTAGTCCAATTTGTAATCACAATATAACGTCCAAAATAAGATACTTTTAAGCTAGTGATTTTATGAATTCAGAATCCTGTTCGTCAAATAACAGCGTCACCCTCTCGAATTTTATGTGAATAAAGTCTTGGACTGTAGTAACTAAACTAGGACACCCTGTTTAACTAGTTTTTATTACAGTAATCCTAACCAACAAATTACATTAAGCAATATTTCCCCCAGATTAAGATTTCTGTTGTATGTAATCGTCATGTTTATAGTAATGAAATAGTCGATAAATCGTTAAGAATTGGGGTTATAAAATGCAATGTTGGCCAGAAAGGCCAGATTGGATTTTGGGTAATGAAACATTTCGAGAATTGAACATTCTGAACTTTAGTTAATCGCTATGTACGTTAAACAGACTATAATTTCGTATCTATTTCCGTCAGGATGCGCGCGGTACCGCGAGCTATGCTACCGCGCCGCGCATGCGCATTTGCCCGACGACACCGCGCCCCGCCCCTGCGACTGTACAAACTGTGCCGCGCGCCGCCTATCTGCACCGGAGCCCTGAAATTTACCACCAGTTCGTCCTACCGCAGCCCATCAACGCGCACTGGCAACCCTTCCTGAATGGATAAGACGAACTTAGAACTAGAACTCAAAATATCTTAACTGATTTTTCTTAAATTTATATATCCTCTATTGCATTTGTGAATCTGCCAAAATCGGTAGGTTTATAAAGTAATAACTATAGATCGAATTTTATTAATTTACTAGTGGCCTTTAGTAAGTGAATCGGTCAATTGTTTTAATACTATATAATAATATTTTCCTTCTCCTTGTGCCTTGACTGACCATTATTAGTCCTTAGTCCTATTGTTATTTACTATTTTAAAGTTTTCTGTGGTAAATCCTCACTTTATGTAACTATTGTGCACGATTTTGAATTACATATATGTACTCCAAACTTTAATATGTACATTGCTCATCCAATATCGCTTTCAAAATTAAGGATTTACGCCAAGTAACTGTAAATAAAGTGCGAATAATATGTCTATTGCGAAGATATTATTGTATGCAAAATAACTTATGATAACAAAATAAATAATGTGGAGTTCGACTTTACACAAATTTATTTAGATACATAAGATTTTCTCCGTAAATCTAGTTTTAAGGTAATTTTAAATAACATAAATTCTAAGCCAAACTTAGATATAATATTATTGAGTAGACGGTTAACATTATGGTCCAGGTCGATATGGCTAAACTAATAATAATTATTCCTGAATGCTAAACCTCTTAATTTAAGACCCTATAAAACAGATATATATATATATAGAATAATTTATATAGCTCGAGACCTAAAATAACACCTGTCTAATTTTTAAATTATCCGATTAAGAACATAATGTACATTAAAATCTATTTTATATATTACACATTTTTAATATTTAAAGTAGAAATATTAATATTAATTACACAAAATACATAGCTCTGATTGCGCTTATATTCGACGTCATAAAATTTTAATATTATATTATTTAAATAATAATATTAACAAGGCCTATCTAATCGCGCTACAAAATGTAATCCAAAATGATTCATAAATAAAACGTTAATTATAAAAATATGTATTATTTTATTACATTCCCTAAGATTTCTTAGACCTTTTCTATTAATTAAGTGCTTAAGGGGAACTACAAGAGTCTTATTAGTGAATTAAAATAAAACTTGAAATAATTAGTACTTTTATTGAAAGTTAACAAAAATACACGAGTCAAAATGAGGACGTCTAAATTACCAATCGAATGATAATTTGCATAATATTCATCGATCCATTCGTCTCAATAGGCGTTACATTAAATCACTAAACGGCTTTCATCCTACATAAACGATTTTCACTAAATGTGCGAAATATAGAGTATAAATGCTTAACATTGTAATAATTTGTTTACTAGAAGAACAAATTTTACATGATTGTATTGAGAAATTTATTAACGAATGTAGAAAATAGCAAACATTCAGGTATATTTCGGTTTACTAGTCAAAAGTAGTTTAATGTCTGAAATATTAGGTGATGAAAAATCCGAAAGTCCGATAAATATTTTGATGTCAAGGATTTCATCTAAATCATTATTTTTGCCTTTCAGAATGGAATACATTTAAACAAAATCAAACTATTTCTTATTGAACTCATAAAAACGAAACTATAATTCTATTGATATCACTAGACCTCTCTAGAGAAGTTCTTAGTTATATATCATTATAACGATGCGTAATCGTTGAAAATTCTTCAAATATTTGTACAAAAATATGGAATATTTAAAAATACAGTGAAAATTCATTTAATTCTTCTTACAAACAAGCTCACAATTATTAAAATGCAGGTATCGCCGTGTTAAAATTTTATTCAATTGCTACATTTCTATGTACCACTCATGAATTTATGTATTATGAATAAAACTGAATAGATGAAATGTGAAATCATTAATAATTCCTAGTTGCGTTTATGCATACAATATTTATTTACAAAAAGAAATCTTTGAAAGGACAGCATATTCATAAAGAATCTTTGTTATACAACTGATAATTTCTGTTTAAAAAAAATGCGAAAACAAAAGTCCGCTCTACACAAATACGTCCAAAAGAGAAAAACATACGGTAACCTAAACAATAAAATCAATAAAAACTAATTTATAAGAAGACTACTAGAGTTGTCGTGTGTTGAAAAATTAAATAACACCCCGCGCTGGAAAAAAGATCAAATATTTTTTATCATTCACAGTGTCATTAACAAGATTTAAATTAACGCGTTTGAGTAAATTTACGCTGAGACCGCACTTAATGCTAGTCAAAATTCATATTATTAAACAGACTTAGCAAAGGCTAACCTAGAACGAGGTTATACTGGAGTAATATTTACTCGTATAAATCTTTTTGCGTATATATAAGGGTAGGAGGTGCTTATTCTCTTTATATTATGAATTTAGACTAGCACTAAAATTGCAATTTTAGCTTTAATTTACGTTGACGCTAATCTTTATTTATTAATAGCACTGATACAGTATTGTTAATGAACAAGGTTTAGCGTTGGAGTTAATTGATGGTGAAACTGCACTTAGTATTAGTCAAAATTCATATTATTAAACAGAGACTTAGCAAAGATTAACTTAGTACATGATTCTGCGTGACTAATATTTACTCCTAAAAGGTAGTAAAGGTAGTAGGTTTGCTTATTCACAGTATCATATGATATTAGACTAATATTAAAATTGCAATTTTAGCGTAAAGAGTTCAAGAGCCGCATTTGTTATGATAATTTCTATTTATATATCCAAAGAAAAATTCCAAAAAAAAAGAACAACTCAAATTGGCACTTCTTATAAATTGGTTTTTAATAAAAAACCATTTACAAACTTAGTGATTGTGTTCGTAAAAAAACATATAATAATATTTTACAGTATACCTACAACTCGAAGTACTAAACCTCAAGGTTCATGCGAGTATCAAGTCAAAAGTTGTGAATCATGTCAATCTCTAGCAGGAGATACGTTAGTTTATTGTTTTAAGGAAATCGCAAATAAGGGCTCATTAGCCACGCACTCTTGGTGCATGTTCTTGGTAAAAAGTAAAGTAATTCGAGCGTATGTGCGCATAGCAAAATGGTCGTCGAGTAAAGTTCGTACCAAAACACAGACAAAAAGTGGCTGACCCTTAACCAGGGACACGAACAGATCTTTAAATGAAGTGTTTTGCAATTATTCGGTGAAGTTAACAACTCTGGTACTAGGCCCGCAGGAACGAAGTGGAGGTCACTCGTTAACGCCTATAGGGATGGTAGGATGAAGCCGATGTTGTGCCGCTAGAGGACGTCCCATGATAACTGCGCTTCGAAGATCGCTGATAGCCGTCTCCAGACCCGCCTGTGTACTCATAATCATCCCCTGCACACCAAAACAAACACGTTAATATTGGTTGCAACTAAAAAACTAAAAAAGCAAAATTGTGAAGCAATTATTGATTCAAATTTTAACATATAATTTATTTTAATTAGTGATTAATAAAATATTTAAACTTACCGCACCACGCCCGCCCCACATTCCAATCACCAGAGCTTACATTGGAGGGTCATTCATTTTATAATGATAGATCATAAATTTATGAACATAAACATCTAATTAAATCGGTAAGGAACACTGCATTCTAAATATTTAAAAGTACAAAAATATTATGATCTACCAATATGAGCCACCGACAACAACTAGCTACTCAACATTTACCTACTGGAGCCCTGTATCTTAACTACTTTAAGTTCGTTTATCAACTACATGATTTTGTATTGCCTAAGATTCTCTATGTTTTCTATATCATGACAGGTATAATAGATCAAAGTTTAAACCTGACGCAGAGGCAGATATATCCGAGACGTTACAGAACGACGGCTGTGGCGACACCATGCCACCACAATACATAATTGGCACCTGAATTAGAATCCATATTTACTGCATAGTAAATGCTTTATGTTATTTTTATGAAATAATTATGCTAACCCTGACATTTGTGATTTTCCGCTACGATTACTTCCATTTTCATTACTGTTTTAAAGGGGTAATAATTTATATTAAATAGTTGTTTATTAATGGTCCTTCGAGCAGGATAGTTATCTTTTCATGAACCCTTAAGTTTCAACAGTGAAAAATAAAGGACCTGTGGTGGGGTTCCTATAGTGTCACTCATCTGAGGCCCGTTCACAAACTTGGGACTGCCAGTCGTGCCGCCCACACCGTCACCCTCTAACAAACGTTCAGTGTTATAGCAAGAACCTTAAATTTAATCACTATAACATTCACAGACTATGCCATTTAAAGATTAAAATAAATAGAATAGAAAATGTGATTTTCGGTGTAAGTCAGACCAGATAAAATAACAATACAAATACAATCTTTGATTTGCAAATCTGTTTTTGGTCCCTATACAACTACTTTGAATACAGACAGCTACAGGCGTTAAGATACCGATATTATTTTACGTTTATATTTCGAAATAGAATATGTATTACAAATAAGGTACTATAAGCAAATGTATAGAATAAAAGCATAATTTCTTAGTTAACATTCCTGTTATCAACAGCATTTGCTGAAATAGTAATCTGTAATGCCAAATATATTACAAAGACATCAAAGGTATCCGATATATCTGTATCAATACTATCAGTTTCCACGTAATTCTGCGTACAAATGTACTTCTAAATGCCAAAGAATTGGTTTTAATGGTCCTTATAATCGTAACGGTTAGGACAAACTAAGGTTGTACGTTGCTAATCGGTAGCCTAGTAAGTACGCAGCTCCACACGGCTAATGTTAAACGACGGTGCGTTAAAAACAAATTAAATATCGGTAACTTAACGCAATTGAATATACAAGTATAGTCTGTCACAGACATCAAGTTATTTAACTTTTTAACAAGCCTTTACTTAGCGCAGAATTCGTATCGCATTATTAAACCACTTTTATTTAACTCTATAAGACTTATTAAAAATGCGCAATAAAATGATTTCTTTAACAAGTAAGT